AAGTTCTAAATAAAAAGAATTTGGACGTTTATTTTAATGTTAATCGATTTTTTTTTTTTTTTTTTTTTTTTTTTTTTCATTCTTTCTCTTTCAAAAAGATATTTTCCATTTAGATTAATTTCCCGAAAATCAGCTATTTATAAGTTTCAATATATGTTCAATATGTAATCAATAAAAGGGTGACCAAAGATATTAACCAAATCAGTAATAATATCTTTTGTTTACATGCATTTAGTATTACTCATTTAATAATTTCCAAAAAAAATTTAATTTTTTTTCATCGTTTTTTTTTTTTTTTTTTTTTTTGTCTGGAAAGACAAGTTGAATAAAAGATGTACTTATCACCAAGTCCTTTGCGAAATTCAATATTCGTTCCAAACCGTTTGCCAAATACAAATAATCTTGCACAAATTTCGAGTCCTTCAGAAAATTCGATTTATTATAAAGCGAATCAGTCGAATAGTCTTAGTCATAACTTTCCACCGGTTACCAACCCTTTACAAAATTCAAGTTTGAATATTTCAACCTCTCGGTTCATACAACCACCGTTATTGGATCGTTTTAACACGCAGGGTCCAATTAATTCACCTTTAAACTTAGTTCCATCTGGTTCAACTATTACCAAAAACAGTTACGAACCGACTCATAGATGCACTACTTGTGGACACGTACACACTTGTAATGATTGTAAACATATTTCTAACCTTCAGCAAGTTATTGATCCACCGGAAAAGAAAATTCATGAACCCATAATTATAAATACTGCAAAGGTAAGAGAAATATATATATATATATATATCGAATTTTGTGGTTGCAAGGTTTCGATTATATTTGACACACTATTGAATCTAGGCGATGGGAAGAATGAATAGAAGGATGGCAAATGGACCTTATTTCCGTCCGTATGTAGAATTATATTATCTATTAATGAAATATCTTTTTTCATTCCGTGTTTTAAAGAATTATTTATTTATTTATTTATTTTATTTTATTTATTTATTTATTTTTTTAAAAAAAAATAAAATAAAATAAAATAATAATTAGTGAAAGGTCTAGGAATGTTTTAATTTCACAAGACGAAATTTTACATCGTACGATGGCCGATCCTAATTTGAACTTTACAGACATTGTTAATCAAGTTGCAAAAGAAAAAGAGCAAGAACAGGAAATAGCCATGATTACTGGCAATTATCCATATCAAAATGGACATCAAAATGAGTTTCAACAAACTGGTTTGTCGTCCCAAATCGATGGACAATCCGTTCAAGATCTTCAACCTATATTTTCGACTGACGTTAGCGGTACAAGTGTTCTTTTACAAGGAGGTGGTTCTTCACAATCATCACAAGAACAACTTCTAAATTCAAACGCGTAAGTATCAAAAAAAAATTTTATTTTTATTTTTATTTTTTATTTTATTTTATTTTTATTTTTTCAATTCACTTATAATATCTTAAACATTTTTTTTTTTAGAACGATCTTAACAACACCGGATGTAACAATCATATGTAATGAACAACCATCTCCTACTTTGTCACCTATCATAAGAGATTCTAAACTTGTTGATAATTCTTTGGGATACAAAAAGGCAATTGTACAGTATGCTTTGCCGAGGAAAAATGTAGTAGTAGAAAAACCCCGCCCTAATCCTGTGACACCAAACGTTAAAGTTAGCAATAGTGGCGATAAGTTAAAGAACTTGAAAGATTACTTAAACAAATTATGGGTTTGGTAGTAATGACATGAAAAAATTTAATTCAAAAATAATTTTGATTTTATTATCAAATACATTACATTATATCCATTTTAACAAATTATTACAATAATCTAAAAAGTTTATAGAATTTTTTTTTTTTTTTTGTTTCGTATAATAAATATAATTTCTATCGGAAGAAAAATGGTACTTCAAAATAGACATAAGGGAATGAAAGGGTTAATTATTTACATAAAAAAAGAGAAGGAAAAAATTTTTCTTTTGGGCAAACTTAGTCCACCATACTTGTACTGTTAATTAATTACACTTAAAACATGTATTTCATTATAAACTAATAATAATAATGTGAAGTTTCTAATCAAAGTAGGGGAAACATGGTGAAAGGAGGTGTTATGTTATCTTTTTTAACATCATACCTATCATTCAATATACCACCACTTTTTCTTCTACCCATACCCACCTTTACGGAACCAAAATTCCTTTTCCAATATTTTTCACCTGCATAATCTATACTATGTAATAATTTATCAACGAGTTTAGGATTTTGAATAGAATCTTGCGTCATGGTTGGTAAAGGAAATGAGATATTATGCTTATGATGATATATATGTGATACAGGTAATGGTGATGGTAACGTTGGTGTTGTTAGAGGTGTATTAAGAGCGGATGAATTGGTAGAAGTGGGAGATAGAGAAATCCTTTTTGTTGGAAAGAAAGTCAGTTGGTCGGCAGGTAATTGTTGAATTTCGGCTCTTGTAAATTTATTGCCATTATTACTGTTGTCGGATGATGTAGATGAAATTGAACTAGACGAAGAGTCAATTGAAGAAGTGGAACATCCACCAAAATGATGATGGTTATGAATATTATAAACATAATTCGCATGTTCAGGCAATGTACAGAATAATAATTCTCTCTCATAAATTGTAAATGGAGTTGAAGGAGTTGTTGGTGAAAATGTAGGTCTTGTTGTATTATCAGAAGTCGATAATCCATTTGTTTTAATTGAGATATGATCATCTTGAACAATTACTTTTGCTTCATCATCAATAATTGAACATTGATCAATTGGAATATATAAAAATTTACGTTGATGAATTGAATCATTTGTCCATAATTTATTGGCCTTCTTTAAAATTGAAATCTGAAAATTAAAGAGAAAGAGAAAAAAAAAAAAAAGGAAATTAAAAAAAAATTGGAATTATTTTTTTTTTTTAAAAAAAAAAAAGAAGAAAGATTTAAATACCTCAATTCCATAAAACAAAGCAACGCCAGCTATGGTGTCAGATGGTTTAATTTCATGCACGATAACCATTTTCCTTTCGTCACTGTCTTCTTTTAATAAATCATTTTTTAATTGTTGACCTTGTTTATTTAAATCAGTATTAATACTAATTTGAGGCATGCTTCTTCTTTTTGTTAAAGCTAATTTTATCTTTTCTTTATTACTACCACCATTACTTTGTATATTTTTTATATCAGCCTTTAATGAAGTTGAGGAATGTCGTTTATCAATTCCACCTGAAAATAATTCATGATTATCATGAAATTTACTAAAACATGTTGGAGTAATTGGTGAGGTAGTAGTTTGATGATTAAGAGGATGTGAATTAGTCGGAATAAGTGGTAATTTATGTGAGGAAGCGACAGACGTTGATATATGTTCTAATAAAGGCCGTTTCTTTTTATATTCTAATTCCTTCGTTAAAGACATTTTTGGTGGAAAAAATACTTTTGGTGGTGCTCCTTTAACCATAAAAGAAGTACCAATACTATTGGTGTCCGTCGAATTTTGGTCACATTCTGTCGCAAAAGGGTTGGGTAAACTTGGAAAGTCAAGAGTATCATTACTAATGGACCAATTTTGAAAATGATTTTTTTCCATTTTTAATAAAAAAAATCGTTAAAGAGGAAATAATTTCTCGTTTTAAAAAAGTTTGCTTATTTTTTTATTTATAAGAATTTCGTTATTTTAAATATTCAAAGATGAAAACTTGAACAAAAAGTGAAACTTTTCGTAGACGTATTTATATAAAAAAAAAAAATAATAAAAAAAAAAAGTTTATCGGGCGTAAATTGATTGAAAAAAAAAAGCCCATTGAATTTTTTAGAGATGTTTATGTTCGGACTTTTCCTTGAATAAAAACTGGTTTAAAAATTCAAATTACTTCTTGTTTCAGATATCTCGTATTACATTAAACTTATCAATTAATTTAATCAAAAAAAACTACAAAAAAGGTAAGGTAAAAATAACTAAATTTATTCGAAATAACTATTTTTGGAATTAAATTTTGTGATTGACTAATTAAAATTCATGTAATTTCGGTACAAACCATTTTTTTAAAGCTAAGATTCAATCAATCTAGCGATGTTGTGTAATCAAAACAACATGATTCAGATTTTACCGATAAAGTTTTAAAATTTATTGGGTATATATTTTATTTTAATATTTCCATTTAATTAATTTTGATTAAAATAAGAAAAGATGTGACTTTTATATAATTAAAGGCAGGTGTTTTGATTGGCCATAACTTATTGTGCAACAAAACGAAATGTTTCAAATCAATAAATGTAATAAAAAATGAAACTTTTTTAGAAAAATTTTTGTTTCTACACGCGTTCTTGGCTAATAACCAAAAAAAAAGAAGACCCCCAGAATAGACAGGCCTAGTAACACATACTATCTTAAACTGTTAGAGCAGTCGCGAAGATCTTTAACTTTTTTGAATTATTATATTATTATGTCAGAAATGATTGAAAGCTGAAGTAATCTACCTTTGCTTTATTATTCGAAATCATGATTTGATGAAAAAGTTAAAAAATTTGAGGAGGAAAAAATAAATACATATCCCTTAAATGATGCATGTATTTTTGTAATTCAGAAGGTAAAGGTTATTATTAAACTGAAATAAACTTAAATATAGTTAGCATTAGTACAAACAATTTTTGCCAATTCACTTTTATTTTTATTTTTTTTGAATAAACCTGTAATTCGCTATTTAAAAGACTTTTATTTTAATAAAATAAAATAGTATAAGTTAAATACAATTTGCATATTTTTAATAAATCAAGATTTATAATATTTTATTATTTATATAATTAGAGTGTACCTGCTCATATTGTGAGTCAATATATATATTTTCATATAAACAATAAATTATTATTTTAAAAAAGTAAACAAAATTATTGTGAAATTTCTTTTTTTCTTATATAATAAGAATGCAAAAATAAAATTTTGATAAGTCTTTACTTTCTGATTTGTAATTTACTAATTTTACAATCCATTTTCAATATTATCTAATTTGATTTTTACTAAGATAATTTTTCGACTTTTATGAATTATGACTATTTATATAAGATAAATAGAGAACTTACAAATGTAAATATTATTTTCCATTTTACTATCTCATATTTGTTAAATAAACATAATAAAAAATGACTTTGATACCTTCTAAGTTAAAAATAATAGGATCTTTGTACTTTTTAAAACTGATAAATACTGCTATAGAAAGAGAAAGTAGTTTCTGTTTTTTAAATAAAATATCTTGCATAATACTTATTAAACTATTAACTAATTTAGCTTAAGTGGGATACCACATGTAATATAATTTATATTACATATGGTATCCCACTTAGCCTAGATTATAGTATCGCATATAATCTAAATATCACATATGATCTAAATGATATGATCTAATTACCACATATAATCTAAATGATACAGTCTGAATATCACATATAATCTAACATTTTATTATTTCTTATATCACTTTTACATTCTAGCTATGTTTTTAAGTCTTTCTTAGTATCCGTGTTTTTTATACTAATATATTTTATTACTATAATATAATCTAATTACCACACGTATATAATCTAAATACCATGCGTTTCTTCTTATTTCTGAGTCATTTACATGCTAAATTTTATAATGGAGTTGTTAACCCTCTGTAGCTGTTTCGATATCTGGTTTTATGTTGAAAGTGTTGGTTTCCTACGCCTGATTGGGTGTTAGATTCTATGTTAGAGTGCTTTCCCTTTACGCCTATTTGATTGCCTTTCTAGATGCTAAAATCGTGTAAAAAAAAGGTGACCCAACTATTACACCAGTATAAGTATGCTATTTTCGTATCCTGAAGTTCAAATTATTATCACATGATTCAATATATAATTTTACAAGATGTTGTTAGACCATTATTACAAAACGAGTAAGTATAATGTTTATCTTATTCATCTTATAAAGTATATTCATATTCCGTAAGTGTTTCTATCATATTTCATCTTAATTGAATATAGAGTAAATATCAGGTATGGTAATATGTATGTGAGTATTACATGTAAAAAGTTCAATTTGCGTAACTTTCAAGGGATCATGTCTGACCATTTGATTACCAGGATAAAGTAGTTTTGAGGTATACAATTTGAAAGATTGAAGCTGATGTCTATTTGTTGCCGATATATATATAGCGATTTCACGTTCCAGAACTAGTGATATATTTATGGTCGGTTGGTTAGAGTATTAGTGATGCAATTTGTATTATCATGACCGGCCCATTTGATTGTCAATATTTTAAAAATTTCGTAATCCAACTATTGCGCTAGTACATGTATGCCAATTTCGCGTTTAAGGTTAGAGGTGTGATATGTATTCTCATGGCCAGCCTATTTATACTATACCCGAGTACATATCTAGAAAATAAAGGCTTCTGCTGTAATATTTATATAATAGATTATGCAGAAGCATTCATCATACCCGAGTACATACTATCGAGATGTAATCTTTATGTCACACCCGGATACATACTAATGATAGGGTAGTCTTCTTCCATTATTTTATATAAAGATTCTGAAGAAGGCTATCCCGAATACACATACCCAGATATATACTAGTGATAGGTATTCTTCTTCCAATATTTATATAATAATTACGAAGAAGAACACCTTAAGTACTCATCTATCAAGAATGTTTTTATCCGTGATTCTCTTGCCAATTTGCTATACATCTCTTTTTTGCACCCACCGAAAAATTAATTAAACATTTCAGAAGTATATTGGAGTGTATAAAGTTTTCTTACTAACGACATGCATACCCCAACTTCTTTCAACCAAACTGATCATACTGGAATCGGCCCAGTCCTCCGCTACGCCAGCGCTGAATCTAATGAATATTTATGTGACTCAAGCAGTTGTACTAATAATGGATCCGACTTAAGGTCAGATGATTATAATAACTACGAGTCTAATTATGAATCGGATAATGAAGAAGCTCCCTGCGTCTCAGCCAGCATTACCAAATTTCCATCAGTTCGGCTACTAGATGTAAAAGAGCAAAAGACTAATGTGAGATACACTTTAAGGCAAGAAAAGGTTAATGATAATTTTTCTTCTAAGGACTTGCTAAATATCATTCAGAGAATACTCTCATTACCGTCTAGAGATATGTCAAACGATAAAGGGTTATTGGATTGCCTTCCAATCTATTCATTCCTCTTTCTGAATGAAAAGGGCTCTAGTTTGTATAATGCCTATGATCAAGATGAAGTGGGAGATAAATTGGTTATCAAAATCGACCAAGATGATGATTGAGCCCCAAAGTTTTCTGTTGCAGATGACATTTCAGAAGTATATAGTTTACCCGGGATTCATGAATGTATTAACGGTCAAAACCTTTAAGAGCTGTGATTGACATCAATGCTTTATAAAAAGATATGGAAGTAGATAGAGTTAAGTCCAATGAAGTATTCATCCGAATTTGTTGCTCTTTCATAAAAGCTTTGTATCGAATTCTTGATTGTAGCTGGGAGGATATTCTCAATGGATTAGTAATCGCTACATCGTCAGACCCTAGCAAGTGTAGTTACCATATTTTATATGCACTGACTCTCCTTATTGATCATCAGAAACTCAAAGCATTCACTGAATTAGTATATACCTTAACTGGGAAAAAATTCAGCAAGTATATTGATCGGGGGTTGCCTGGTCAAAATTTTAATCTTCGCCTTATCAGTTTGGCAAAAAAGGTCGAGTAAAGCGTATTCTTCAATTCTTACTAGATAATAGATGGAATGAACTCGACCACGCTAGGGTTCAACCACCTACTAGCTTAGGACTTGAAGTAAGACCTCAGATGCTTAGGAAAGAAAAAAATAATAATCTGCTAAGAATAATCATAGGCCAGGATGTATTACAAAAATTTGCAGAACTAGTTTTTCAAAAACATTCTAACTATCTTAGGGATTGGACTATCGAAGAAAAAGATTCACAAAACTTTGTATATTTCAATCGAAAAGCTTCACTAGAATGTTCACTCTGTAAATGCATACATAACAAGGATCAGTGGTAGTTCAGTCGTGTATGTGTTAGTAGTGGTGAATTCATTGTGAAATGTTTTTGGCAGAATACTGATGAGCCAGAAAAAGTTTTTGAGAGCGACCCATTTACTGCAGAAAAAATTTAGCAAGAAAATAAAATTTCTCCACAACCCTTTCACAAGGTAAAAAGCCTAGGCTTTTCTAAAGCCTTCGTAAAAATGCCATCTTGAATCAAGTATAATAAAACCCTTACAGTGACAGAAACATATGAGGAGAGATATGTAAGACAATTACCCAATGAAGGTGATATTTATGTAGGCTCACCTTGGGAGACTGGAAAAACGTATGTTCTTGAAAATTTAGCTATTTCTGATGATGTGAATTTGTTAGTGTTATCCACACGCCACTCTTACTCGAATGCTGTTACTACAAGACTTAATCTTAAGTCATATTGCGATATCGATGGTAATATAAATCTACCTGATCACAAGAGGGTGGTTTGCCAGATAGAGAGTTTACATCGTATTATTAACAATTGCAAATGCAATAAAAAATGTAAATGTCTCCCAATACAATATGACTTATGGCTTGATGAAATAGTTTCTATAATTGCTCAAGTACAAAGTCGTTTGGTAAGGCAATCAATAGAAAAATTATATAAATTAATTCAAGAGGCTAGGCACATTATTGTTATGGATAATAACCTTACTGATATTAATATTGAATGGATTAAAGCCCTTCACAAGGATATACCTTTCTCCATTATTCATAATACTTACCAGCCTCAGAAAGGCAAAACATTCTGCTTAGCCCCTAACAAAGAAATAGCATTAGTTGAACTTTGGAATTGGGCCAGGCAGACATCATCATTACCTTTTGAAAATTGAACAAGTGTGTCACTTATTTGCCATCTTAGAAAAGACATACAAGAAATTTTTCGTGCTCTTAAGACGGATTTTTCAGAATTAAGGATCAAGGAATATCATGGCAAATCTGATCCAGTAGAAAAGACTCATGATTTTAGTAATGTCGAAGAAGCATGGAAAGATGTAGATCTAGTTGCTTATACTAGCACTCTAATAATAGGAGTATCTTGCACTAATTCTAAGTTTGAACGAGCATTCTGCATCTTTAACAATTATATAGAAATAAATGCTGAGACAAATCAGATGTTATTTCGCATGCGATGTATTAGAGATTATATGTGTTATATTGAGCAAAGATCTTCCAATGTCTCCATCACAGAGAAAGGAATATTTCGGTGGTTACTGAATGCAAAACGTGAATGCCTTCCCTGGGAACTTCAGAATAGAGGAATATTTTCAGATGTAGATTCTATTATTCGGAATAAGGATGTGTCAACCATTCAATTATGGGTGGCCTATATGTTAGAAAAATTCCGTTCCCAGTGCTTATTTAGTTGGAGGATGGTTGATTTCCTTCGAAAAGCTGGCATGGAAGTTTCAATCATAGAATCCGGTCCTAAATCTAAAGAAAATACATTATCACAAGTGGTAAAAGTAAAGTGCTCTATCATTAAAGCGAAAGAGATATCTGATATATCTAACGCTACTATTGTCAATCATGAGCTGCTGAATTTTTGGAGAACAAGCCAAAGAAGACTTTAGAAGAAATGCGATCTCTAGACTGACATTATATTGTGAAATGTTATGAGATTTTGCCTGAATCATTAACCGAAGATTTCATTTTGAAGTATGGGGATTATAATTATATGAAATGGTTCAGAGCTTATATACAGTTATGAGATGCTGAGACTAATAATGAAATAGCTGTTGGGGATATTACTCACAAAGATTATAGAGAAGATAAACTTATCATAGCTACTCGAGCTGAGAGACATCGAATTTGTTTGAAATTACTAAGAAATTGCACACCCGTTAGAGACGTCGATGATAGAGTACAATATAAAGCTGATAATATCAAAACATGTATAGATTCTCCTGAATCAATATCATATCTCCAGAGTTTAGTACCTAAAATGGCTCGAATATTTGATAATATGGATGCATCGCGCAGTGCTAAAAAATCAGGATTAAAAACAATTTGAGCGAAACTTGGATTACTAAATTCAGTTTTATACGTAACATATGGGTTGAAGTTCAAAGCTATCAATAATAAACATGGGCATTATCACTTAGTTGGTTTATTTGATAGTGAGAATTCTTCCAAATTACCTTCGTATCAAACAGGGAAGGAGATATATTGGGATAATAGAAAAGATACCCGATATGCTTATAGTAAACTTACTTTTGATGAATTGTTAATAAATACGTCTATTAATTCTAGCAAAGTAAATAATGAACAAATCGCAGATTATATCCAGAATTTATTTGATATATGCTAATATTATTCGAATACAGATCTATTGTAAAGTGATATTCTTTATGCTATCTGTTAGGCAGTGTTGCCGAAGAAAGTAAATCTTGTCTCAGACATTTGTTATCAGCTTGCATGACAAGTTAAGAGATCCGGAGATCAGGGTTGAATTGCCTGAAGAATTTTTTTACCAACACTGCTATTAGGATATTCTTCTTCCATTATTTTATATAATATTTCTGAAGAAGAATACCCTAATTATGTCTATTAAAAATGTGTAATTTAACCCAAAGTTCACTAATAGATATCTCACTTCTCGGCAGATAATTCAGAGGGAATACTAGTGCTCTGAATTTTGAGCTAACTACTAATTCCCAAAGAGGTCAAGACCCATATCCTCATCATCCTCATCATCCGACTCAGAAATCAGAGCTTCAGGGGTTCTGGATCGAAGGGTCCCAATAATAAGCTCAACACCTGGCTCAGAAATCGGAGCTTCAGGAATTCTGGGTTGAAGGGCCTTGGCTCCATACTTTTGTCTTATCTGATAATTTAACAAATGAAATCTGGCTGAGTGTTTGGAACAACATCCCGTAGTAGAATCTGTAAATTTGATACAACCACTAACAAGACATCGTTTTCTTTTCATATTTTTTTTATGTAATTTCCAGTGCTTCGTACAGCCAGTAATATGAGTAGTGACCCCTCCAAAAACAGTACCATTTCTCTTGATATGTGGGCAAGTAACACGATCTATATAAGTATTTTAGAATATAAAAGCCCTTTTCACTTTTAATTTTATAATAATATGTGTATTTAAATTATTCAGTATTAAGATAAGTCATAAATAACTTTTCATACTAACGCTATGGACATATTAGATCAACTAACAGAGCGCGAGCCCAAGGGTAAAGCTCATGAAAAAATATATAATCCTAAATCTAATCGCATGATAGCTATAAATGTGTTAATATATCGTAAAATGCTACTCGAAGACTATATGCATTGGAAAGAAGAAAGGCTTTTAATTCCGCCTTTACATGAATCGCCAATATTAAGACAATATCTTTCTTTCATTTCCTATCATATTTGAAATATTGTATTAGAAAGAAGTTTACTAGCAGTGATTAATGAAAAAATCAGCCTATTGCAGATTTTACTCAAAGCTAATTGGCACAATCTCACTTTATGCCAACTATTAAAATTATGCTGAGAGCATGAAGAGATGAAAGTTTGAAGAAATAACGTACTCATAAAATTCCTTTACCATCTAAATCTAGCTCCTTTGAAGCATAGACCAAATGCTTTATATGATGCATTCACTAAAACAAATATTTTAGGACAGGAACAAATATTAGCACTAGTGCGAACATTTACTAAAACGTAATTATAATACAAATTATTTTTAGCCTTGAAATGGGGGTTCCATAGCTATGTATTTTTTTGCATATCCTATCTACCCGCAATTTTCAAATATATATAAAAGATATTCTGGCCGGTGACCTCATAGAGAGCCCGCAATAAATTATAATAATCTTTTTGCCCACTGACCATAGGGTAGTGAAATTATGGAATAAATTTTTCGAATTAAACTTTATCCCACGTAATATAATCTGAATACTACGGATTAATCTAACTACCACATATATTCTACACACCACAAAATGTCTGCTATTACAACCAAATTCGTTACAGACTACAAACTCACTAATGAAATGCGTCTTGAAGAGCTTAGTCAGTATGCATCAGAAATGTGTAGTCCCTTGATAGATGATAGAGAGAAAAGGTGTCAGGCACGTAATCGTCTCCAAAAGAGATATAAATTTAGCAAAGAACAGCATTTACATTGATTCCTGATCAGAGAATTAGGCGATACATAAGTCAAGTACCGGCAGTAGTCCCAGAAGCTGAAGTGAATATTAGTCTAGTTTCTGATAACACTCCAGAAGGAGAGACTATTAAAGAAACAGCTCACCGTATTATCCAGGATAATCTTAGTGAAAGAGATGCAAAAGCGATATCTAGAACCTTAGAGGAAACATCTCCTGATACTGTCATTGCACTATCATGTCTTTCTAGACTTCAAAGAGAATTATGAACTCTCAATGCTTCAGAAAAAATAATCTCTGCTACGAAGAATCCAGAAACAACCAAATTATCCAATAAAATTTAAAAGAAACGTAGCGAGCAACGTAAAATGAAGGGCTCCATTATCTAAACCACTTCTCGTTAGAATCAGTTAAGGAAAGATTGGATGAGTATGATGTATTTAATATACCTGACAAACAGGTCCTAGCTGATGTAATGATCATGCTCTGTATCCGTCCTGCTGAAATTAAAAATCTGCGTATATCCAATGGTGATGTAACTGGATACGCAAAAAACTGAGGCGAACAGGATATTTCTCGAGTATTTAGATCACTGGAAAAGGATGAGGAGCGAGCTAAGCAATTACTTTTATGGATTCAAAATGCGAATTTTTCTGGAGAGTTAAGAAACCTTGAGAAGTCTGGATCTACATACTTAAGTGCATTTCTGAAGAAAGATAAATTTATTCTTAAGCCTTATGACTCGCTACTTCCTAGCTCTTTGCGCAAATTAGGATCGGTATTTGCTAGCATAACGCATATGCCTAAAAACCTGTTAAAATTTAACACTTATGCTAGGGAAGCCCTTCGACATTCGCCCAATAGTCATGTTTCTCCATCTGATAGATATACTATAGTCAATTACAGAAAGCGGGATTAACCTTATGATCAAGCAAGTCCTTTCAATATCTTTGATGAAAACGATTCATAAGGAATCAAACTAATCACATATATTGGTTAGAGGATCAGGGTATCATTTTTTAATTTATTTTTTTGTTTGCCTAAGATATAGCATATATAAAATATCGCAAAATGGTAACCGATCAAAAGCATTCATCTGATTAGAGTTCTGAATGAGTCGAGTCGAGTCGAGTTTAAAGACCAACTCTATTCAACTCGTTTTTTTCAAGTCGAGTTGAATCAAATTTATTTTATAAAACTTTTCGATTTGATTTAATTCGACTCAATTTGACTTGACTCGATTTTAACTCGATTTGATTTTGACTTGAATTTATTCAAAATTTGTTATCGTTCGACTTGAACGATTTGTTATTGTTCTTCTTGAACGATTTTTTTATCGTTCAAGTCAAATGATTTGTTATCGTTCTTCTTGAACGATTTTTTTATCGTTCAAGTCAAATGATTTGTTATCGTGCTTCTTGAACGATTTTTTTTATCGTTCAAGTCAACTCGAGTCAACTCGAATCAAGTCGAGTTTAAATTGAGTTGAGTTAAATATTTAACTCGACTTGAATTTGGCTTGACTCGTAAATCATCGAGTCAAAAAAACATAAACTCGACTTGATTTAAACTCGACTTGGCTTATCTAACTCGTGAATTAACTTGACTTGTCCAAAACTCTAATATTTACCCTGAAGTGAAAGATATGTTAAATCAGGCAATTGAAAAATATATTAAGAAAAAAGAGCATTAGAGAATGAAGTTTATTACCAGCGACTGTAAAAATTTGTTAAGAAAAGAAAATAAGGAGTTGTATATATCAAAGCAGGTATTGGAAAAAAAGATTGAAGAGCTTCTCGACTTGCAAAAGTAATATAAGTCTCGTGCGGTAGCCATGACCAGGTCTTTAAAGGAGAGTGGTGGGAAAGTCATCCAATTATCAGATTTGGTAGCTATCTTCAAAGTTTAATTCCTGATATGAAAAAAGCTATTGCGTCTACTGAAAAATCCATTGACCTGTTAGAGAATAGATGTCAGAATCTTAAGGATATTATTTCCGCTAAGGACAGAAAAATTATTGCTCTTGTTAATCAGATCCTTTCTAAAATGGAACATAGTGATGTGACTATAGAACTGGAAATATATTCTAGCACTCATGAAAGGAAATTATGGGCGAAGAGGCATAGTGAATCTGAACATGACCTGAAAACCTGGAAAAAATATACATTTCATCCTTAGACTTAAGAAATTCTACTCATCCAGCTTCAAAGGAGAATCCCAGCCCAGTCTAATCGCTAATGGATCGTCTACTGATTTAGTGAAATCGAAGATTACAAAATTTCGATCTCGCAAATGCTTGTCAATAATTTTGGATGCTTTTTTCAGATCATCCGTATACTGACGTACAATTCTACATATATCTTCATGGGAACCACTTTCTCAGAATATGAAACTCACTTGATTTCCTTGATTTATATGATAAGATTGTTACTGCCAAAGTCAATCTTCAAAAAATCTCCCATGATTAATTTAATGTTATTTTCATTTTTGACAAGCCATTAAGCTATTATTTGATCACTTTAGAAAAACTTCTAATGAGAACATATCTAATGCTAAAATTAATGATATAATCAGGGAACATATTTCCACGCAAGATAATTAACATCTCTATCTATAACATTATCACAATGAGAACACTCAAATACTTCTTCATATCTTAATTCCTTATTAATCTCTCCACATTTACTACATCTTTTACTTGTATTATGCGGACTGACAAACTCTACCTTCTTACCAGTTAGAGCAGTTTTTATTGAAGCAATAAGGATGAGGTGTTATTTCTTTAATTTCTAAGGTCATTTCTTGACGAATCTTCAAAAAAGAAAGGTTAGGCCTTTTAACAATATTGGTGGTATGGAAGTGATAGAACGGATAAAATCTTCTAATGCTATTATGATTTTAAATTTATCCCATGATGATATCGATTTCATTTAAATTAATAGTAACTAAATAAACGACCAAATGAACGGCAATGTATTCTGTATTAATAAAAGCGTCATTTTTTGGAAAATTATGCATGACCCATAACTATGATTAGCCGATCCCGTGATTTTATATGATTCAGATTTCAGATTAGAGTTTTTTGTTGTGGCTTAGCATAATATTTTAATCGTCAATATCAGAGTCAACGTCTACGTCATTTCACCCTCGTTTTTTTTTAGTTTCTATATATCAAATTACTTTCTTTGATTATGCAAAACTTCAAAACGCACGAATATTTCAAGCGAGATCCCTCCAAGTGGAATGTCTTGGAGTTTTTGAATGAATGTGGCACGGAACCATTTAACAGCATGGATGTTTACTCGAAAATATCAATTGTAACGAACAAGGGACCTGACAGGAAAGAGCAAAGGAACTTCTTGAAAATTATAAAGAGGCAAGTAACATTTCCTATTATTAGTAGATGACATGACGTGGACTTTCTTGGTTACCGTCAAAAGGCTTCTTGCTGAGTCACGAAGCCAGTACTAGGATGCGTGGGGCTTTTTTGGTTCCCTGTGATCAAGATTTCTTGCTGACCTACCGGGGGACAAAAGTATTGCACGCTTTTATTTTTCAATAATTTTTTATTTTTTACAAAAACATACAATTTTTTTTATTTTTCGAAAACTGACATTAATATTTAGTATGTCCTCCATTGACGTCGATCACAGCCTGAATTCTATTTGGCATTGATCGCACTAAGTTTCGGTACTCTTTTTGCGATATCGCATCCCACGCTTCTTTTACCGCCTTTCAAGCTCAGGAATGCTTGAAGGTTGAGGATTGCATTTTCGAATTTCTACCTCAACTATAGACCACATATTCTCA